CTTGTGAAAGTCCCCAACACTTTTGAATGGCCTTTTCCTGACAATCCAGGCTGCGGTCATCCCTGCTGCTTGTGCACCTTTTTCTTCCACACTTTTCCCTTCCACATAACTTTCTATTAATGTGCTGATACAACACTTTGGGAACATTCAACTTCTTTTGCAATTACCTTTTGAGGCTTTCCCTCCTTATGGAGGGTGTCAATGATGGTTTTCTTCACAACTGTCAGGTCAGCAGTCTTTCCCATGATTGTGATTCCTACTGAACCTGACTGAGAGACCATTTAAAGCCCCAAGAACCCTTTGCAGGTGCTATGGCTTAATTAGCTGATTAGAGTGGGACACTTTGAGCCTAGAATATTGAACCTTTTCAGAATATTCTAATTTTTTGAGATTGTGTATTTGGGGTTTTCATGAGCTGTAAGCCATAATCATCTCAATTATGACACATCACGGCTTGAACTATCTTGCTTTGCATGTAATGAGTCTGTCTCATATATTAGTTTCACCTTTTAAGTTGCGTTACTGAAATAAATGAACTTTTGCACAATATTCTAATTTTTAAAGTTTCACCTGTATCTGTCTTCTTTCCTTCAACTTTTTCTACTGTCAAAGCCTTGCCCAGGCATGATTTGCAGGTATAAGTGTGTGTGTGTATGTATGTATGTATGTATGTGTGTGTGTGTGTGTGTATGTATGTATGTATGTGTGTGTGTATATATATGGCTATCAGCTTTGTTCGGGTATTTTCCCACGTCATTGTAGTTGTGCTTTTAAAGTTGTAGCGATGTTTCAGCAGAATCTCATCTGCCATCATCAGGCTTCACAACTACAATGACGTGGGAAAATACCCGAACAAAGCTGAATGCCATACATGTAAGTACCGGCGAAAACTTAAGAAAACAAATACACACACACACACCTACCTGCAAATCATGCCTGGGCAAGGCTTTGACACTAGAAAAAGTTGAAGGAAAGAAGACAGATACAGGTGAAACTATATTTATTTATTTATTTATTTATTTCTAAAAAATGCCACAGGGAAGTTTCACTAGCAATCTTGTGCTGGTTAATTACTGCAATAAGCCTAAGTAAGAAAGTTCCATCAGCAACAATTTGAAAAAGAAGAGCTCTAATCAGCAAACTGTTACCTAAAGCCCAAGGTTCTAAGGATTTACAGGATGCAAAGTTGATTGGCCAATTTGGCGCATTGCCAGATTCAGAGCAAGATTCAGAGCAAGATAACACCATGCAAAGATTGGTTAAATTAGGACAAACATTGGTAATAGCACATTCCAGAATGGTGCCATTAATTAATTTGGTCCTACTATGTACTCAGGATTGTAGCAATACACTCAAGCAGCAAATTGCTAAGGCTGCCACAGCTACAAATAGCCCAGAACACAGATCACCATTAATGTCTAAGCCTAATAGTTTGTAGCTTGATAAAATGCTACATCACTCAGAGAATCTAAAGTATGCAGACCCCAAGAAAAAGGCATGTTTCTTGCCTCATCTGATCCAGACATTGTCTTAACACCAAGATGATCCTGTAGTGGAATTACCCAATTGTATTCTGCCCCAGCTACTTATAGGTATCAAATCATTGTAGGGATAGATGGGAATGCTAAAAATAAAATTGAAAAAAATAAAATAAAATAAATCTTACTCCAGCATATAACCACTCAGAAGCAGAAGTCTAGTGTTGGGTCTCATGCCATCTGTAAAAGTTTTTTTAAAATATTTTTTATATCACATTTCCATTAAAAAAAAAAAACACAAGGTCAAGGTAGTGACTGCCGATGTGCCTTCCATCTTCCCCACAACAGTCACCCTCCTGTGAGGTGAATTGGGCTGAGAGAGATGCTGGCCCAAGGTCACCCAATTGGCTTTCATGCCTAAGGCAACCACAACTCATAGTTGTTAAACCCGATCTTTTAAATCTCACATTGAGCCACTTATCACCACTGTAACCGATTCCATCCATTTTCCTGCTGGTCAACCTCTCCTCTTTCCTTCCACCTCTCCCAGCATTAGAGAGCTGGGTCTCAGTACTCCTGTTTATCGGCCATTGACTTCAATGAGGAAGAACACAAATCTACAGGTAAGGCTAGTCGGCAATATAATTTCTTCTGTGTGAAAAAGGGCACCATAAAAAAGCAGAAGCCCAACGAATTTATATGACAGATGAAAAAAAAACAAACACAGTTGATTCAACTTGATTTCAGATATCAGTAACAAACGCCGTTTTTGGTTAAAATGAGGCTGCCTACCCCACGGTGGCTCGTTGGAACGCAGAGTTAACGGAAAGCTGGAGCATCGCCACAGACCATTTCCACACTTTATAGCGTCTTCACACCACCGCTTAACCACGGTTAGAATGGTATAAAAACGTGGGCGGACCGCTTACTTTGGTACTAAACGCAACCTTGCTGCGATCGGGGACTTACTTCTCTTGTTTGGGGCGTCCCTCCAAAGCGGTGGAGGGATCAGCTGAAAGCCGCCCCCCCCCCCCCCCCCCCCCCCCCCAGTTATCTCTTACAAGGATCCAACCCGCCGCTCCCTTCACTCTCGCTTTCTTACACATTCACACACACAAGCCGTGGCCTACTCAAAGCAAAGCTTCCCCCCGCCCTACCCTCCGCGAGGTGCGCAAACGGAGGAAGGGAGGAGCCGCGGGGAAGCTGGAGCCAAGGCTTTCAGCAGCTGCATCGATTTTTCTCCCCCAGTCCGAGGGAGCCGCTGCCAGCCACTTTTCTCGTTTGTCTTGGGGGGAGCGGGGGGGGGAGGGAAGCAGCTGTTGCTCTGGTTGGAAGATGGCGAGCTGCTGCTGCTGCTGCTGCCGCCGCCTCCTCCTCTACTGGCTTCTCTTCTCCCTCTTGGGGTCCCTTGGCTGTAAGTCTCCCGGGGTTTCTCTCCCCTCTCTTCTGGGGGAGAGCGCGGGGGGAGGGAGTTTCACTTGGTTTGCAACGCGCGAACGTTCAGTTCTGGGCTGAGAGGGGCGACGGTTGGCCTGAGGTGGGGAGAGGACTCTGAGCTTAGGAGGTGCCAAACTCGACGCCGCCGACGCCTTCAATCTTCCCCCCTTTGGCGAGGAGCATCTTGTGGCGACGGGGAGGCTCTCGGTGCGGGCGCTTTTCCTCTCACTTTTGAGGGGAAGGGTGCAAACAAAAGCCCGCTCCCTCGAGTCTTCCTACTAGGCTGCTTGCGGAGAAGACCAAAAAAAAAGGGGGGGTAAAGGGCTCCTGCCCGCCCCTTCCCCACCCATGGCTCGCTTTGATTTGATTAGCAAGCTTGGCAAGGGAGGCGAGCTTGGCCGTGGCTGCCGAGAGGCGTGCGCTTCTCCCGGCAAGGACTGGGGACTTGAGCCGGTCGGGTTTGGGCTCCAGACGGTGAGGGGACCCGGGAGAAATCGAGGACGCTTTCTGAGGCGACTAAAAAAAAAAAAAGGTCGTTGACTTGTTTCGGCTGGAAAGCTGCCGAGGGTTTTATTCCACCCCCACCCCCTGCAAACCAAAACACACCGATTCGGCGGAGCGTTTTGGGTCTGCTAAGGCTGGTCCAAGACGAACTGGGAGTGAAGCTTTCCTCAACACGTTTTGAGGAGGCTTCGTCCTTCACCGTGCTTTAAAGGTGGGAAGATACCTTCACAAGGCAGGCTGCAGAATTTGTCTTGGCTGCCACAGAGGTGATCATGAGGCTGACCAGGTTAACCAACTACCTAAGATGAGCTCTTAGGCAGGCTTGCCATGAAGTTTACAACCCTAGAATTCGGGAGCAGGATAAAATTCTGCGTTTTAGTGGAGTATCAATAAACCTGTTGATCAGTCCATCAACTAAGCGATGCTCCATCAGATATTTCAAAAAGTGTTTAACATTTCCTCTCAACTGCCCCCTTTTCCGCTGTAGGTTATTGCTATTCAAGAATGCGTCTTAATGTCAGTCACTACAAAATAGAGTGCTACCTATCCTATAGATGATGAGTAGAATTTCTTATACTTCATTGCTGCTGCTCTGAATTAATATTTAGCTTGTGCTTTGCCAATTCCTTAATTGTCTTCTTATGGAGTACAGTACAATCAACAAATCTTCTGCCCAATATCATGCATGTGATAAACAAAAATGCAAATTTTTATACTTTTCCCAGTAGAAATGGATTTTGTTAATTTTGGCTCTGATCTACTTATCGTTTTAAATCTAGTTCCTTTCAATGTGGTATCTTGTGCAAATTTGATAAGCTTTATCTGTACCTCTTCATCTATGTTGTTTGTAAAGATATTTGAGACATGAGCTCAAGATGGTCCTTTTCTAGTTTATATGAATACCTACTAGTCATAGATGCATGTAAAATTATTTTTGTTTAGTTTACATTTGCTAGTTTTTCAGTGTTGGCATTGATATTATTGAAAACGTTGCTATAAACCCACTGTAAATTTATGATCAAGTCTGGTTAAATTGTGTCAAATGTTTCAAAATATTGGTTTGTAGTATTTTGATGTTTATAAAAATGAGCATAGCTATTGAAAACTAAAACACTTTTTTAAAAAAAATCATAATAATGGAATAGAAATCACCACACCCAAACAATGTGTTGATCATAGATAAGTGAAGCCGGAATGCACAGCTGTCAAAATAGTTTACAATGAAATATGCAGGACCATATTTCCATGCTAAACCATAACAGATATGATAAGCTATAACCATGCTAAAATTATACATTACACTTTGTTGGTTTAACATTGATGTGATTATGTGAGAGGTATCATTTATTTATACTGGAAGGATTGAAATCATGGCAGTACAAAGACACAGAAAAAGCAAGGGGCAGAGAGCAATTACAAGTTTTCCACCAGTTAATATGTTTAATTTTTGTACAACATAAAGTCCATTTTTGGATAATATCTAAATATGTAGCAATTCTTTTTAATAAAAGTCTAAATAAAAACTTAAAAGTTCTACTATACGTTTACTGATTCAGAATCATGTAGTTGCCTGAAAACTGTCTTCTCTGAAATATTTTTTCTCTCTATCTAAAGATTTGGTTCTTTAAAATTCCTTTAGAATGTCTTGTTGCTATTTGTATAATCTATGTATATAAAAGCGAAATACCACTCACACATCATCACAAAATTTCCGTAAAGCAGGACCGTAAAGCCTGCAAACTTGAAATTTGGCATGTGTGTTCCTCTTTCCTTCTAAGTGCTCACTAAGAAAAGATTTTTTGAAATGACCATCAGAGCATTCGTATTTCATATATTATTAACACGCTGCAACACTAAGGAGTTCTACTCCCCCCTCCCCACCTGAAAAGAAATCTGTTCCAAATGCAAAACACAAGCAGAGGAGAGGAGTTTCAGTTTCAGTTTTAGTTTCACAGCAGCAAGCAGCTTTAGTACAGAACAGTTGAGCTAAGCCATGACCGGGCTCCTCGCTGTCTCCTTGCTCACACAGCAAATACTGTTTGAGTTTCCAAACACCCTTCAACTCTTTCACACACTGACAGGAGGCTATCCAGGTGAATACCAATGGATGCTGGTAGGCAGAGGCAGAATTCCTGCGCCCCTTATTTTCCTCATCAGTTCAGACAAATCTGTTCCTTCTACTGTAATACCACTTAAAGAGAAAAGAGGCTAAAACACAGAAAAAGATTTACAGATGCGATTAGGAAAACACGAGTAAGGGAAGCTGCACACAAGTATCAAACTCATCGCCAAGTCAGTAGACAGGCAGTAAAAAGTATACATCTAATAACCCCTACATTAATCAGTCACAAATGAGATCGATGCCTTGGACTAATAAGTATTTGTCTGGTTTTCAATATGAACCTCAGATTCATTATTCCAGGGAAAAGGTAGTTGATCTCAGACCTCGGTTACCTTGTACCTGGTGTCATGCTCTAAAGTGGCAGGATGAGAGTCCTGGGATGTGCTGCAGTTGCAGTAAAGTCCAGCTCCCTCCCCTTCAGCCCTACCCTGAACCCTTACACAGCCTTCTCACCCACCAGCATCCAACGGCAAAGCACTTTCTTTCTGCTATCCGGAATTACAATGGATGTTTCCAAATGATGTCTTTTGGAACCAGAGAGGTGAAGAAGGGAAATTTTATGCCAAGATTCAAAGTGCAAGGACAGGTTTGCCACAGGATTGGGAGTATCATGGCGGGGCCTCAGCAGCAGCCTTCATTTCTCCAGATATATTTTGTTGGTGATGATGACAATGATATGGACATCCATTGTGGAATCTATATATATAAAAAAGCGAAATATCACTCACGCATCATCACAAAATCTCCAGAACCGTAAAGCCTACAAACTTGAAATTTGGCATGTATGTTCCTCTTGGCTTCTAGGTGTTTGCTAACAAAGGAATTTTTGAAATGACCCTCAGAGCATTAGTATTTCCTATATTATTAACATGCTCTGATGCTAAGGAATTCTACTCCCCCTCCCCCCCGAAAATAAATCTCTTCCAACTGCAGTTGAGCTAAGCTATGCCCAGGCTCCTTGCTGTCTCCTTCCTCACACAGCAAATACTGTTTCAGTTTCCAAACAGCCCTGAACTCTCTCACACACTGACAGGACGTTAGCCAGAGAATACTGATGGATGCTGGTAGGCAGAGGCACAATTCCTCCCCCCTCCTTATTTTCCTCCCCCCAAAATTGCCCAATCACATAGTTTCATAGCGAAGCATGGGTACCCTGCTAGTTTTGTTACAAGAAGAAGGCTGGTGCCGTAGTTCTGTTATCTATCTGTTAAGCCCTCTGAAAGCTTTCAGGTGCTTAGGCTTCGTAAAGACCTATAGGAAGGAGCTACCTCATGTTTGCAGATATAGCTCTGGAATTGTATTGAAATAAATCCAGGTACATTGCCACTTTACAAAATGATTGTGAAGTGAAAATCAGGATACCCGCACATTTCTTTTGACTATTTTATAACTAAGGTAACTGCAAGAATTCTGCTGAACTTCCTTTACTTTTGAAAAAAAAAAGTAGTTTCATTTTTTTTCTTTTTTTAAAATGTGCATTTTGCTAGCAGCTTAAGAAGCAAAGTGCTTACCTTGAAGTAAAAACCCGACCTAACATTCTAACATGGACAAGGCAGGGTTTTACTTTGGGGGTCACTCATTGCTTTTAATGGAAAAAGTGAAAATGATAAAAGGGTTAGAGAAGGTCAAAGGGTGTTGAAAAGTAGTGGCATTACAAAAATAAAAAGGGAGCAAACAGAAGTGAAGGGTAGAGAGGATGGTTTTAAGATGGAAAAAAAAAACATTTCAAGGAGAAAATCCTGTTTTTATAATATCCAATTGCTGTATTCTAGTAACTGGTAAGCAATGGGAAGAGAACTTCATTTTCAGAAATTAAGCATGTTATGATGAAAAGACAAGCAGCTTTAGTGTCACCAAAAGGTAGTAGAAGACTGGGAGCTGCTCACCACTGCTAGCATTGGTGAAAATGTGTAGAGAATGGCAACAATTACAGCTAAAATACTTTCTGGATGCTATTTGATTCTCAAGACTGCAAGCTGCATTGGAGGATAGCACTGCAGCTGGAGAGATGACAACATGTTCAAATAAAGAACACTGGGCCTCTGTGGAAGCATTTATGGTCTTTATTATGAAGGACATGTGTGCACGCACATGTTTAAATAGGAGTCTACTTGTCCTATGATGTGACAAATTCTTCTTCAAGGATTTCTGCATCAGTTCTCCATTCCTTGCCTTACCCTTGTCTGAAATACGCATGGCTTGCACTAGTTCAAACCTACGTAAAATTTGCTGCGGGAGGGTGTCTGAGGATTAAATCACACTTCCAATGCATATTTTATCTAAGTTAAAAATGCAGTTGAAATGATAATACAAGGAAAAGAAATATGGAAATGAAACTAAAGAGCCATACTAGGCAGGACAATTTTTATGTAGTTTGATTCTGTGAAGAATAGATTTTCCCAACATCTATTATCAAACAGGTATCTGTACAAAATAGGGCAATCAATAAATACTGTATAAAGACTTCAATCTAAATGTGGCTTTTAATTCATACAATGGAAATTCTGCTGATAGAATAGCTATTTTATCCTTTGCTTAAGATATCATGTATAAACAAGGAAAATAAATTCTACACTGTGGTTCTTTTTGGATTATAGTAACACTGTAACTTGCAAAGTAAAAGTGAGAAAGTAATTACAGACCTATTTAGCAGCTGTATTCACTCTACTGATACAATGACTATTTCATTCTGCCTGAAATAGTAGGGAACAACTTTATGTATCCAATATTTAGATTTGTTTATATCTCTATATGTATTTGTGTTGATATTAGTAGGATCTGTCTACTGCTTTGGATTCAATTCCATAAAGGTGCTTCAAAGTGTTTGGGATGATATATTTTCCTGGGATTGCTTAGCAGCTCCTTTCAGAAGTCTCACATCTGTTCTATTTTGATGCCTCCACATGTTCCAGAATATCATTTTTTGGAACCAAATTTGAACCATTACACAAACGTATACGATATAGATGTAGATACAGTACACAGTATACAGAGACATATGCATACATATGATATATACAGTGTTCTCACACATATCATTGGATACAATTTATGTGAAACTTATTCTAAAAACATCTTAAGCACTTATGCACTTCAAAATGAAAAAATGCATACTTTTAGGCATTTTAAATTTGTACTTTAAAGGTATGCATGTATGTGTGTTGATGTATTCAGCTGTTCATCAGAGAAAACCTATCACATATAGCTCCCCATTGTCAAGAATAAACACATAACCCCACTCCCCCAAAACACAGAACAATAGAATTCATCTAACTACCTGAATGAAACGCTGGGAAAAAATACTGTAATATATATGTTTTATCAACTGGTAACCTTTCCTACATTTTTGTTGTTTTTTGTCATAAATTATTTATACAGTCTAATAGTATCAATCTATTTTTATGTAATGCTAAACCATTTAACTTATTTCCTGTTAATTTTTAGGAGAACAGGATTGGCAGAAACTTTTTCAGATTTTTTCTAACTATTGCCACATTTACTCATTACGTTTGTTAATAGAATTTTAAAAAACTATTTAAACCTGTTATAATATTCATAAACAGACTTGGAAGACATAGCATTAGATATTTGCAAGACATATCCTAATTATTATTGGTTACTAAAAATGTATAGTTTGGTTACTAAAAGTTTATAATTCTGAATTTTTGAGTATTTGCATACGTGATGCTCACTAAAATTTAAAACTATGTTCATTTTTTCTATTAATTTTTATCTGAGTACTGAGCATTGAATTTTTTTCTAGTCACAGTTTTGAAAGTGATTCTGGTTAGATGTTTTGGAATTTGTCCGTAGTTATGAAAGATCTTTCCAAATAACACAAGGTGAAAGGGTTTATATAAATATTTTTTCTCCTTTGGAAAAAGGAAACAAGAAACAAAAGTGTTCACAAAATTTACCATATTTATATGGGTGGTAATTTTTTATACTATATTATACTTTCTCAATTGTAGTATGGGAAAACCCCAAATTTAGGTTTGTTATAAGAATCTTAAGTTAAAACAGAATAATAAATGATTCATATAGATGAATGCCATAAGATTGCTTCATATATTTTTTTAAAATGCCATTTTAAAAAATGCATGTTTTAGAATAACTTTGAACTTGTATCTAATTTGTCAAAATGAGATTTCTAAAGAATTCTGTATGTGTGTGTATATATACACAATTTATGTATATACATTATATATACATATAATATTTTAGATAGATAATTGTAGATATATATTGTAGATATATATTGTATATAGATTGAGATCTTAAGACTCATTATAAATGGATATATAATGAGTCTAAGATCTCAATCTATATATAGAATATAGTAGCAGAGGTTAAAATGTCACATCTACTGTTTGCCTAATATAACTCGATGTTTACTTATTTGTCAAAAATACATGTATACCTGTAAAAATTACAAACAAGTTACTGTAGGTGGCAAACAGCAGTATTAAAAAAATAATAAATATGATGATACCTTTAATAACATCAAACAAAATCATTTGCCTATTCCAGTTTGGAAGGACTCAAACATAGACAAAAATGTCAAATTCATAACAATTGATTTCATTTGATGGTATTAAAAGTATCATCACAGGAGCTGCCTTTTGCAATTGACTGATGGGGATTTTGTCAATACCAATGGTGTTCAAGTGATGCCCTAGATCAGTGATGGCTAACCGTTTCAGCACCAAGTGCCCAAAGCGCGTGCGTGTGCATCCCCAAAATGCAATGCGTGCATGTCCCCTGCGCATGTGCCATGCTCCCTCCCATGCACCCCCCCCCCATGTATGCACAGCAGAGACCCAAAGACCAGCTGGCTGGCAGGAGGCACATGTGCATGTGCACTGGAGCTGAGCTGGGGTGACAGCTCGCATGCCCACAGAGAGGACTCTGCGTGCCACCTCTGGCACACATCCCAAAGGTTTGCCATCATGGCCCTAGATGTTTTGGAATTGCACACAAGGTGCCTACTTTCTTTTGTCACAGTTGTTTTACTTTTATTTTCAGGTCTTTATATTTTATTATTTTCTCTGGTTTTTTTCTATTCTTTCTCTTCTACTCTGCTGCCTCCAGGTACTACCACATCCATTTTTTTTTAACCTTTCTTATCAACAACTGTTATGTCTGGGGTGTTGTGTGCAGATGTTCATCTGTGTGAATTCTAAAGTCTCAGAGCACTTTGGCTTCATGTTCTATTTGTCTATTTTGTAGTTCCTTCAGTTGTTGCTTGCAGGCACATGGTATTTCTTGTAGATATTACTATGCACCTGTCATGCCCCTGGTGGAGACTGACTCTGAGGGAGAGGAAGAACAGCCAACGGGGAGTGGAAGTGTGGCTCTGGAGGAGGTTGTGGAGGAGGCTGGGGAAGGGCAGAGGCCGGCTGAGCAGTCAAGAGGAGGACCCAGGCCCATCCCCTATCCATCCTAGGTCACACAGGGAGGAGAGGATAAGGGAGAGACATGGTCTCCTTGGGAGGAGAGGGCCTTGATCCTCTTCATGGGCTGCAGTGTGACAACTGAATAAGAGTTTGGACCTGAGTACTGGCAAACACTGGAAACAAATCATGTAAATATCTCTAGTTTATAGTTCTTCTCTGAGTTTGGCATCCTTCCCAGTGTGTGTTATCTGTGGACATCCTCCAGCCCTTATCTTGCCTGGTTTGTGTTGCTTTTTTCGTTCTTTGTGTAACTGTGTGGGAGTTTTTTTTTGTCTTCCGCCAGATATTCAAAAGCTTGGAAGCAAACTGAAGGAATAAAAGGGGCTTCACCTGTTTTCTGTGACTGTGTTTGTTTTGTATCCCACCCTGGGTCATCACAGCACCAAAGCATTGTATCTAATTAATTAAAAATTAATTAAAAATGTATCTAATTTTCAGAATCCATTCATTTATTTCATAGTCATTGAAAGGGAAGAAGGAGTTTATTTATTCTACATAGTACCCTAGGGCAGGACAAGAAGAATGAGTGGAAACCTATCAGAGAGAGATACAATCTGAAAATGAAGAATTTCTGACATTGAGAATGATCAGTAAATTTAACAGCTTGCCTCCCGGAGTTATGGGTGCTCCTTTGCTGGAGGTTTTAAAGAAAAGATTTGACAACCATTTGTCCCAGATGGTATAAGGACTTCTGCCTTGGGCAGGAGGTTGGACTAGAAGACCTTCAAGGTCCCTTCCAGCCCCGTGATGTGCATAGAGGAAGCAACTAGATGTAAGTAGTTGGGTTCTGTTTGTGTTTCTTGCATTTTTGTCTTTTTTTGTTCTTTCACAAGGATTCCCTATGAATCAAGATTGATTTGGACTCCCTGTGATGAAAGAGAAATATGATCCTCTGTATCATACACATTATCTCAGTTGGGCAATGGTTTTTGAGATGAATGACTGACTTTAAAAATTGTTTGGAAGTTAAGCCATTAAAAATAAATGAAGCTCTATCTCTAGTGTACTCTCTCTCTTGTATGTTTATCAGTTCTTCTTTTCTGTTTCTTAATCATAAAAACAATAATGTACCTCTTTATCTAAAGTAAAGTACTTTTGCAAAATGAAACTTAGTTATTCTGAGTTTAACATCTTAAATAAAAGAAGAAAACTGATGTAATTTCAAATAATAAAGAGGTTTGATTCTAACATAAGAAACATATATAGAAGAAACACCTTTCTATATAACATGAAACCCAGTGGTGTGATTCAACCAGTGTAACAACCGGTTCGGTGAGCGCGTGCTTCACATGCGCGCCCAGCATTTAGAAAAGACCATTTTTAGCTATAATACTTACCTTCTGCTGCAGCCCCGGTGAATAAAACAGCGGATGTGCGAATCAGCTGTGCTCAAAAACAAGGAAATAAAGCACAGGAAAATGTGTGTGTGTGTGTGTATGTACACTACACCAAGCAGCCTGATTGCCAAGGGGAGGGGGGTTGGGTTGTATCAGTATAAAAAATAATGAACATTTTAATGTAAGTTTTTCTCTTTTCAGATAATAAAGCATATGGAATCAGTGTTTACTCAGACAATGAACGTGTCACAGCAAGAGAATTTGAAGGTATAGTATGTCATACACATACACACACACACTGTTCTGAGAAAAAAATATTTACAGTATATTGAAAGCATAGAAAAGCAGAAACAAGGTTAGGGGTCAGGAAGACTCATATCATTAAAGTATAGTAAGTTGTAGAAGCATAAAATATCATCCAGAATCATTTAGTTGCTTGATTAATATACTTGTTTCAAATGTTCTTTGGCTTTTCTCATAGGTGATCCAGCTAAACTCAAAAATGTATTACGTCATTTATTTAAGAGAAGAAAATTAAAAATATTCTCAAATCTAGTTGAAAACATCATAGTACTAACCTTAGATATATTTTTAAATTATTCACATTGTTATTAGTAGATAAATTATGTTGCTCCTTGTTCAAATCCTTCTAAAACAATGAAAATAAATGTATTCTCAGAATTATATTATACATAATCCCATGCATTGCAGTGGATGGGTTGATATTTGACAGTGTCATCTGCAACTTCCACTCCATCTTCCAGACTTCTGTTCTCTCCTTCCTATTATGTTTGCTTTTTTCTCAATTCCATTGAATCTATTTCCTTTACTTTTGAGAATTTCGTATTCATTTGTTCACATTACAAAATTTAGATAGGAATATGTTTCCTGAACTGCTTTTTTAATGTTCCAACCTAGTTTTATGTGATATTCATGTTTCAGTTTGATTTTTAAGTCTGCCATTAGTCTTCTAATTCACAGGTAACAAAAATTCTGCATTCATGAAGATCTCTCCTCCATTGATGTGGAATCTATGGGAAGCTATCTTCTCAGTTCTTTAAAGTCTACCTCCTAACTCAATGGGGTAGAGAGATTTTACAGATATTTTCTTTTCTACTTTGGCTTCAAGTTATCTGATCTTACAATAAAACCTACATTTTTACTACAGTCTTTCTCCTTCAGGAACATGGACATAGTTCTAACATTTGAAAAATTGCCTGTTTTTGCCAAATTTTGTGAATTTGCTTAATTTGGAATTATTGCTATAATCTATGTGATATATTTTGACATATAATGTCTGAATAAGTATCTAACATTTCTTGCACATGCGTTCAGGATTGCTTACACTGCCGAAAGGATGAGTAAAACTCATGTAATTATCCCTTCCCATACCATTTTGCTCTGATGAATTGCTATTAGAACAAAGAAGAAATTAGCATGTGGCAACTTTTTGTGGAAGGAATACTGTTCCTTGTTTATGATCCATTTGTGTCTTTTTTTAAAAAAACTTTTTTTTGCCATTTGATAAATATTTCATAAAATTTCCTACATCGGGTTATTTTTTTTCTTTCAGATCCAACAAAGAAGCAATATTGGCTTCTCTGCAAGTATTCTGTTGAAGCCCTGTCTTTCTAACACAAGCTCCTATCCTTGCCTTTGTCCATACTTACCATGTTTGCTGTGGGCTTCTGATTAAAAACCACATTTTTGACATACATTCCATCTTGTTACATGATAGGTCAAGCACAAATACTTTGAAAATGAATATATAAATGAAGGGTTTATATGGAGCTTCAATTTGTGTCTGCGGAACAATGGAATAAATGGAAGTTTGGACAATGCATACTTAAAAAAAAATTCAAGTATATTTTCATTAATTTGGGAAACCATAGCATTTTAAAAGCTTAGACCTTGAACCACTTTATTCTTTTTTATTTAAAGACTCTGCTTTCTCTTTCCTTCTTGAAATTTTTGTTGTGAATTTTCTATTCCAAAATTCACTTTTTAAAATGTTTATTTTGCTTTTTTATCACTGTGTACTTCAGAAACATTTTGCTTGGTTTTTAATATTATATAATATCTCTCAGTTTTCATTAAATTGTTTAATTTCCCTTATTTTCTCTTAAGAAATACCTATGAGAAACTGAATTTGAAAACACTTATTCTTTTGTGGAGATATGTGAAAAAAATTAACTGACTTTTTCCTCATGTGCATGTTAAATGATAGATTGTATATTCTCTGTTTCAGCAGTCCTTATTAAAATTCATGTGCACAGTACAATCATTTTTAAAAAATAGGAAAAAAAGAACATTATGAAAACAAAAGTGCTTTGATTAATAACCTTTATTCTTGAAAGAATAAAAATACCCTGACCTCCTGATAAGTAAATTTCAGGAAAAGCACCGCCTAGCCATTTCCACTACTTGGCTCTAGAAATCTGCTATGGTAACATTTCTAAGAATATAACATCTCATCAGTAAACCTTTCTTTTAAAAAGTGCCTTTTGATAATGTTTGAAAGAATGTTCTTGAAAAATGATAGCATGGGTATTCCTAGTGATCTGAAATTCAGGAGTTCTAATAAATATTAAAAATGAGCATTTTGCAAGATGAAAAATTTAATTTCCTGGGTAGCCAGGGTTTTCCCCATATGTTGCATAGTAAACCCCATGTTAGTACACCTCATGTGCAATGGACAAAATTTGTTCCATTCCACCATTTTATTATATGTATGCATAAAATACTTGTTAAATTGTTAAATTTGACAGACTTCTACATTAATGGATACCATTCCCTACTTTGAGTTAAAGTGAGGGTTTGCTTATACTTTTGAAATTTATTCCACCATTATGTGTTATACTTGGAAGTAGACATAGTTTTGACTACTAAACGGTCTGATAAATGAATCAATTTAAAACAAGGTCTAAGAAAGAGTGAACCCACCATTTTTAATAGACTTACATCAAATTACATGGTATTTCAGACATTATGAGAATGAAGATATGTTACCTTCACGTAACTAATCTCTGTTCAAAATACAATTTGTGAAATGGCATTCAGAATCATCTTATTAAAATCAGTTTCCATTATGCTGGTTGTTTGCACAATTTTAATATAAGCTATACCAAAAGAGAAAACAATTATCTTTTTATCCTCTTCTCTGTAGGGGTGTATCTGAGTTGTAAGCACAATGTAAAGAAGGAAGTTGGTGCAAGGGTTGAATGGAAAAAGATTAAAGGGTCCACTGTCTCATTTGTCTACTTGAATGGTGTCTTTGTAGGTAAGCAAATATTTTTGGTTGTTTATGCATTAATTTGCTGTTTGTAGCACATTAATGACCCCAAATATAGGATCAGTTAGAGGTCAAATAAAAGTTATCGCTAGATTTTATTTCCTATCTTTCATCACTCTTCCAAGATTTTCAAGGAAATACATTCTTTCCCCATTTTATCCTCACCACATCCTGTGAGAGATAACTATTGGTCACTTAATAAATGACTTGTCTGTCTGTAAATCTTAATTCAGTTGTCCTGGATTGAGTTTGGGCTTTAGCAGCTACTCTGATCAAACTGTCACCATGATTATTTGGAGAGATGGCTGCTAAATACAGTGAGCTTAACCAGATATAACCTTTTTTATTTGCATGCTTCCAGGTGCTCAGAGGAATGCACAGAAAAGATAAGTATGCGGCTTGCATATGTGAAGGCAACCTCAGTCCAATTAAAGCTTGGTTAGGATGCCCTAACACTGTTCTTGTGGGTCCTGGTTTAAGTGAATCTCTTTTGGGAAGGGGCTTTTCTAGAGTGAGAGAAATGCAGAGGATTTGGTAATGATGGCAGAAACACATGTCTGGATACATTGGAGAAAGATTATGATGTAATATTCACCCTAAGAGGATTTTAGTGAAAATATAAAATGTAGTCCTGATCCTGTCCTACTCCACATCCCATCTCCACATAGAATATGGATTGAACAGACAATACTACCTTTATGGGAAGAACTGTGGACATTAGCAAACAAAGATTGTTATAGCCATTGCCTCAGGTACAGGCATCAGGAAAACAAAAACAAAAAATGTAGTTGCATCTGTTTTGTCTGAAATTTTTAATTTTTTAAAAAATCTAACCCTAAATACAAAACTGTAAAATAATTCATAACAAAATGTCCTTTGGGGAATGGAAAGCAAGTGCGTGCTATACACTGGAAAGGAAAACTCCTTTCTTATCAATATTTTACATGGAAATCAGTCATCCAAGAGTCTCTAGCTAGCTGCCACCAACTCTTCTTCCACCCCTCTCATTTCTCTCTCTCAATGTTATTGTTTTCCAGGTAGTTTTAAAGATCGAGCTGAAATATTGCACTCAAGCATTCATCTTAAAAATGTGACTAGAAAGGATTCTGGAAAATATCGTTGTGAAATTAGTGCACCTACAGAACAAGGACAAGGAACAGGGGAAGTTGAAATCTCTCTCTTAATCTTGGGTAAGAAATCTAAAGGATCTTATCAGCAGTTTAAATTAAAATTTAATTTTAATTCTGCTGGGCAACTTCATTTTTCTTTAAATTTAATTTGAGAACTGATACAGATGAAATACAGGAATATTACAATTTTATGGTGGGGGGACTTTTTAGGTCAAATAAAGGCATCTATTTGAATGAGGGTTAATTAAATGACTGTAAAAGAGAAAGGTGGGAAAATTAGGGAAACATGTTAGGCACTTTAAACAAATTAGCTACAATTTGTTTAAGAGGCATAGTGGTGCAGTGGTTAGAATGCACTAGCTCGAGGTTGATTCGGCCTTCCATCCTTCCGAGGTTGGTAAAATGAAGACCCAAATTGTTGGGGGAAATATGCTGACTCTGTAAAGTGCTTAGAGAAGCATTATTAGTAAAGCATTGTGAAGGGGTATATAAATCTAAGTGCTATTACTATTGCTATAAAAATAAACAGCCAAGTTTAGATGGCAAAGCATCCTGTGGAAGACTTCAGTCTTTAAAAGGTTCTAGAAGGCTATTTCAGAGCATATCAGCCTAATTTCTAGAGGGAATCTATTCCACAATGCAGGTGTCATAATGGAAAAATAATGCTTTCTAGCCTCAGCATCACCACCCCTGCTCCTGCTTACTTGAGGCAAGTTGGTACCATAGGTAGTTTCCCCTTGCATTATTTAATGCTGTTGAAAGAAATTTCATCTGGTTCAGTTCCAAGGTGGGAGAAAGATGCTGGAAATAAAATGGAGGCTGGAGGCTGATTGGAAAGAAAGTCTAATTTTTGATTAACAGAACCACCAGGATTTGTGGTGCTGGGTCAGCTACAAACCCTGGTGGTGTTCTGTTCATCAATAAATAGACCTTCTTTCCAATCAGCCTCCATGTTGTTTCCAGCATCTTTCTCCCAGCTTGGAACTGAACCAGACAGATTTTCCTTCCAACACTGTGAAAGAAAATGTATGGGCACAATACAACTGATATTTTGTTATTAATTGAGTTAAGATTATAATCAGCAAAACAGCAGAGGTTTTATATATATAAACACCCAAGCATATCATTCAAACTTTCATTTGAGTAATTTGTGAATAACTATTCAGATTTAGACATATGGGTATTTGTCTAAGATATATGACATTTTCTAGTGCCACCATCTGCTCCTGTTTGTGAAGTGCCTGTCTCAGCTCTGAGTGGGACAGTAGTTGAATTGCGATGCAAAGAAAGTGAAGGTGTGCCAGCTTCAAAATATAGATGGTATCGGAATGGTGCTATTCTCCCTGAGAGCACATCTTTTTGGAGTTTCAAAAAAGAGAAAAATTCTTATACTTTGAATACTACAACAGGAACCTTGGTAAGTTTACATTTCTTTAATGACACTTAGTGTGTGACTTTCCAGGTCTCAAAGCAATTCAAACTATATTACAGCAACATTGAGGAAATTCAAAATGGAATTATAGAAATAACAAAAAAATAAAAAGGAAAGCCAACTGCCAAAATGACTCACATCATGAAAATTTTAATTGCAAGTTCAGTAAGGAGATTAAAATGTATTCTGAATTAAATAATTGGGATTGAACTGATGCAAGAATGGGAACAATACTGAGGAATGTAGTTGTTTTAGAAAGGTTTTGAATGTTACCTGGGAAGTATACACCATTACTGCAGAAATGGGCATTGGAAACTTCCCTTCATTCTGATCTCAAACTAATTTCTGCCTACAAGTCCATTATATTCTAAGTCTGCTACATATACAGGTTATTTCCAAAGGCTGCTTGTGATAAAATCTGCCTGAACAGGGATCCTGGTTCTCATCCCAGTTTGAGGACAAGACTAGCAAACAATTGATTGACAAGAGCATTGATTGTGATAAAATCAGGTTTGAAATACAAACTTCATCCCTGAGCACGTGCTGAATTCTTATAGAACAGTAACCTTAACAGTAACCCAGCCCTTGCTTATCAATGGAAACCGAGTGGAGCAAGTGGCCAGTTTTAAGTTTCTGGGTGTTACATTGCATCTCTGGTCAAAAGGGCCCAGCAGAAATTATACTATCTGAGGCTTCTCATAAAACAACTGAATGAGAAACTGCTGGTGACCTTCTACCGTTGCGCTATAAAGAGCATTTTAACATACTGCACCTCTGTATGGTTTCCCAATTGCACAGTTACAGATAGGAAAGCACTCCAGAGGGTTAATGTCATTGCCCAGAAGATCATTGGTTGCCCTCTCCTCTCTTTGCAAGAGCTTTATAACTCCCGCTGCCTTAAGAAAGTTCAAAACATTCTCAAAGATCCATCTCATCCTGGGAACCCTTTTTTTGAACTATTACCATCTGGCAGACAGTACAGAATATTAAAAACAAGTACAAATAGAATGAAAAACAGCTTCTATCCCAGGGCAGTAGCTCTTTTGAATTCTGCTGTATAGTGCAGTGTTGGTGTGGTATCGGGGGTTTCCGGTTCAATGTGTGAAGGGTGAAGGATGTGTGTTTGTGTTTATTTTCATGGTCATGGTCATGATGTGCACTGAAGATGGTGTTTGATTTCGTTGTACAAGGTGCAGTGACAATAAAGTAAACTAAAGTAATTTAAACTAAACCTTAGCTGAATAGAAAAACTGTATCTTATATTTTGGATCTGTTTTCATTCTGATTATTAAAGAGTATTTTATCACTTTATTCTTACATGGTTAGCACATTTTTTTAAAAAAAGGATACCAGTTTGCATGTAACAAATAATTAACTTTCTATATCTGATACATACTTTGAAGAAATTAAAGCCAAAATGGGTAGTTCCTTCCAATCTCTATGACTTTCATTTCCCTCTATTTTAATTTATCACCTTTCAGTCTGATATATACAACCACATCAACTTTTCAGAATTTGATGCTACCTTTTGCTTAGGTTTCCTCTGAAAAATGATAGTTTGCTTCATTAAATTAGCTGCCAGATGAGTTAACCATTTTTAGTATTGGAAAATGTTGACATATTGTAAATAAATATTTCTAAATACTGCAAAGGAATATATAAGAAATTTTTAGATCTAATAGTTCTTGAACCTTTTATCCAATAGTGAGTTTTGCTGTATTTTCTTTTAAACCAGCTGTTCAATCCTGTTTCAAAGAATGACACTGGGGAATACTACTGTGAAGCTTATAATAGAGTTGGACGGCCTCGAAGGTGTCCGGTGAAGAGGATGCAAGTAGGTAAATATCAAATGCAAATAAAGCCAGAAAATGTTTATGTGAAATTGTTATAAGTTAAAGGGGATGTATTGTCCAAAACCAGTTTAATTTTTTTTAAAGGCACTATTTTGACAAGCGTACCATTTTCATTTTGTAAGGACCAATCTTATTTTAAGTCTGAGACTTGTACACAGAATTTCTTTCAACTAAATTTTAGGATAATGAATACTAATCTTAACACATTACAAGCAGGCCTCTACTTACAACTCTTCATTTACTGATCGTTTGAAGTTAGAGTGACACTGAAAAAGTGACATGATTAGCTTATAACTTGTGAAAGGTTAGTGCTGGCCCACCTGAAAACAGATCACGGATCTACTGTTAGACCCCTTTCAATTTGCCTACTGAGCAAATAGATCAGCAGATGATGCTGTTAAAATGGTACTGCACTATAGCATCTTGAATCTTCAAGGACCTATGCAAGAGTCCTTTTTGTAAACTTCAATACCATCATTCAAAATGTTCTTGTCACTAAACTGACTCAACTAACAGGGCCTGACCACACTTGTAAGCTCATAAGCTTTCTAACAGATAGGAAGCACCAGGTAAAGCTAGGCAAAATCACATCAGATACCTGTACAATTAGCACAGGTGCCCTCCCATGGCTGTGCTCTCTCTCTCCATTACTCTTTTCTCTCTATACCAACAATTTCATCTCAAAGGATCCCTCTGTTAAAATACCAAAGTTTGTAGGTGATACAACAGACATTTGATCTCATTCGAGACAACGATGAATCTGCACACAGGCAGGAAGTTGAACAAATGGTCCTGTGGTATGGCCAGAACAATCTTGAAATGAAAAAACTCAAAACTGTAGAGATGGGAGTAGATTTTAGGAGAAGCCGTCCTATTTTACCATCTCTTACAATATTAGACAACACAATATCAACAGTAGAGACCTTCAAGTTTCTGGGTTCTATAATCTCTCAGGACTTGAAATGAACACCTAACATCAAAAACATCATCAAAAAAGCATAATAAAGAATGTTCTTCCTGTGCCAACTCGGAAAGCTCAGACTACCCAAGGAATTGCTGATACAATTCTACAGAGGAATTATTGAGTCTGTAAGTTGTACTTCAATAACTGTCTGGTTTGGCACAGCAACCAAACAGGACAGACACAGATTCCAATGGATAATTAGAACTGCAGAAAAAACAATTGGAACCAGACTGCCTTCCACTGAAGACCTGTACACTGCATAAGCCACAAAGAGGGCTGTGAAAATATCTATAGACCCCTCACATCCTGGTTATAACTTATTTAACTTCCTCCCTCAAGACAATGCTATAGGGCATTGCATGCCAAAACAACTAGACACAAGGACAGTTTTTCCCTCCATGCCATTACTCTGCTAAACAACTTATTTTCACAACACTGTTTTATGTCCTGGGATGTCCAACCACGTAGCAGAGCTGTATTACTATTATCCTTTTCATCTCTCCCATTATCTATTTCTTTAGCATCTTAGAACTATAACTTGGTTGTTTGTATCATGTGTTGATTGTTTTTATTTAGTATCCTAAGACTATCACTGAGTGTTGCGTCTTATTAATCATAAGATACAACACTCAGTGACAGTCCTAGGATACTAAATGATGATTGTATTTTATGATTGTGATCATGACTTATCACTTGTTGCTTGTATGTATACTGAGAGCTTATCCACCTGAGACAAGTTCCTTGTGTGTCCAATCACACCTGGCCAATAAAGAATTCTGTTCTATTCTATATTCACACTTATGACTACTGTAGCCACCCTATGGCCATGTGATCAAAATTCAGTCATTTGGCAACTGACATGTATTTATGCAAGGGTGGGATTCCACCGGTATAACAACCAGTTCAGTGGTCACGTGCTTCAGTCTCCCTCAGACTTTGTAGAGATCTGGATTCTGTCCTTTCCTTTTTAGTCAAAACCATAACATTAAAGAATGTGCAGACTTAAACTTTGGAACAACAGATGAAATCAAAACAACAGATGAAATCCACTTTGTTGGTTCTCCAGCCATGAGACTATCTCTTTGATCTAGAAATAGATCAAAGTTCTTTTGTGTATCTTCATCCGCATCCAAAGATAAAGCTTCAGATCTTAACTTTATTTTAACAATCATTAAAATTTAATCAAGTTTTCAAGAGAGAAAATCAGCTAGAAGCTGCGCATCACCCCACTCTCCTTTCTTACTGTAAGTTTTAGTGTAAGCTCAGCCATCTTGATCTGTAAGCTCAGCCATCTTGATCTGTGAAACTTAGCCAGGGAACAAAGAACAAAAAAATTGTATGTTTGCCTCTATATATCAATCCAAGATTATAAGAAAAGTTCAATGGAAATAAACTCCGGGTGTTTTACAAATTCAACAAAAATACAGAATTCAGTGGTGAGAATCTGAAAGCTGTTCACCACTCCCAATGCTTTCCATACAGAAGAAACAGAGGTTATCTAAAGTAACATATATCAAAAGAAAAAAAAACCCCAGAAAAGGCAATTAAAATCCAGCAAGGGATTGAGATAAATCAGCACCCAACCATTAATCAACCTTTTAAAACAATAAGTAAAATAAAACAGTGAAATCAAACAGTGAAAGTTAAAATTGTAGGATGCTTAGAAAACAAAACTGCTTGATGGGAAGATGGATACACCCAATGACTTTTTGATCGCTTCCAGAGGGAATTGGAATCTTCAAGAATGCCCCATCCCTGGCTATTGGGTCCACAATTGTCCATAGGTCATCTTGGGATACTCCCTTTCAAAACCAGGGAGCAGCAGTTCCAAAGAACCAGCTTTAGTAGTGAAATCAGCATCTTGAAAGGGGAGGGTTTAAATGTTGATAATTTTGACTATGGGCCTGTATTGCTTTAAATCTTAAAATAAGATATATCCATTTATTTTTAAATAGAAATCTAAATACTTTTAAAGTACAAAAATCATGTAGCAATGGGAACAGGATATCAAAGATTTTTTCCCTTATGAAAATGTCCACATTGATATCATTGTCAGAATCATTCTTTTTGTACTCCTAAAATCAGTGGTGGGATTCAAAATTTTTTACCACTGGTTCTGTGGGTGTAGCTTGGTGGGTGTGGCAGGGGAAGGATACTGCAAAATCCCCATTCCCGCCCCATCCCGCTAACCTGCTTTCCAGTTCTGTTCTCCTGTGCAGTGCAAACAAAAGAAGACCCAACCGATGCGCTGGGACTTGGGAGGCAGAGAATAGATGGGGCCGGGACCAGTCAGAGATGGTATTTGCCGGTTCTCCGAACTACTCAAAATTTCCACTACCAGTTCTCCAGAATTGGTCAGAATCTACTGAATATAACCTCTGCCTAAAATATGCTCAAATATTTGGGCTATATAGCAAAATAGAACCTGTACTTTCACGATTGCAATGGCAGCTAACTCCCATTTATAGTGTTATCCTATATGGCAGTACTTAGATGGAAATTTTAATAGTATTTAGACTCAGGTATGCAGAAAAAAAGTATTTGGCAAAGGTAATAAATGCATATATGAGTATACCAGGGGTATCAAACTGGCGGCCTGTGGGCCAGATGCATTACGTGTGGGCCACACCAACCCCAGCTCCGCAAAGGCAAAAAAGTCGCAATATGCCATGTGACGTATGATCGAGTTTGACACCTGTGAGGTACACTATCTTGTCTACTAAGGTTTTCAATCATGTATTCTAGATTTCTTGGAAATATTGATTGGTTACTGCCACAAGAATCTATTGTCTTTTTCGTATAGTGATCATTTAAATTCTAGCTTTATTGTTGCGGCAGTTTTCTATTTTGGTCTCACATTATTTCCAACTACATTCACTTGACACCTGATATTTAGAATGAAACCTTTTTGGAAGAAGTGAGATTATAATGAATCCTATAGCTTTTCTGTCTTCATAGCTAAATTTTTCAGTACATAAGTTTTTCAGTAACATGTTCAAAAGGGAAGAAAATGGGGGAGGGAATTAAAGCATTCTTCAAAGTGATTTCACTGCATATTTAAGACTTCACAGACCTCACCATTCATCTTTGTAACAATTATTTTCTATAATATTGAATTTTAGTGATTATCATATGGGAGAATTATGGCAATAAGAACAGAGATAGAAGCTTAGATAAGACCACTCAATAAACTCATAACGATGGTGAAAACTGAACTTTCATTGTTTACATCAGAGGTGACATTCAACAGGTTCTGACCAGTTCTGGAGAACCGGTAGTGGAAATTTTGAGTAGTTCGGAGAACTGGCAAATATCACCTCTGACTGGAGATTTTACACTATCCTTCCCCTGCCACACCCACCAAGCCACGCCCACAGAACCGGTAGTAAAAAAATTTGAATCCCACCACTGGTTTACATGTAACAACATATGAGTAAGGTTTTTATTTAATGTTCTCATTTAAGATTGAATGTTAGCCATTGGTGCCTTCTCTCAAGATGATTTACTTGAAATAACTACTCTGGGCATTGCATCCCTTCCTGATATATTTATTTTGTTTTGAATTTTAGATGACCTTAATGTAAGTGCTATCATAGCTTCGGTGGTCATTGTGGCCTTAATAATGGCTTCCTGTGGTCTTGGGGTATATTATGCACAGAAGAAAGGTTATTTTTCAAGTAAGTAGAGATTACCCTTTCTTTGAAGTATTACAAATATTTCATTGCCTACTTGTTTGTGAATTGTGGTTACAGTTAGTACAACAGAAGTGGAAGCCTTCATGGGGGGTGAGAGGGAATAAAAATGCTGCACATACGGTAACTGATGTTCAAAATCCTACCCTTTTTATGTGCACTGGATTCATTGTGTATACTAATAAGGACTAGGTGATGATGTTGACACCCCACTCACTGCCAAACACACACACACACACACACACACACACACACACACACACGACTAACCCTTTCCTGACTGGGGGAATCAAAAGAATTTATATTCTTTTTTAATGATTAAGTACAATTAGATTTAATGTTCTTTTGATAACTTTGGAGACACTTCCATGTGTCCCAGCAGACTGTGTTACTGCTATTATTGAGGAATGACATGACTAGAGAATGCAGCTCCACAAAAATAAAAATTCCTTTAGAAATGTGCCAATATTCACATTGAAAAGAAATGTCTAACTTGCTACTGTAGTCTTTCTATATTATAATTTCTATCAGAAATTCATAGAACTGTTTGGCAAACTTAACTCTAAAAACAGAAAGTAGGACTGTGCGCAGTACAATTCTGAAAAGGTGTGTTTATTTTTTGTTTGTTTGTTCATTAAATTTATTGGCCACCCATTTTATCAGAGAATAACTTTGGGTGGCTTATGATATTAAAAAGATAAAACTATACAAAACCTATGGATAACATTAATACTATAAAGATCCAAATGCTCATCCCAAACTAAAAGATGGGGAGGGAAGGAATAAGATGAGAAGGCGGTGGGGGGAGAGATGGGATCTGTTATTAATTCCCGAAGAAAACTCCTTCTTTGGAGCCCCGAATCAATTGGCCGAGTCGGGTTTTTAAATCCTTGCAGAAGGCCAGGAAGGTTAGACTGACACTTTACTTCTTTTAGCATGATTACAATGCCTCACTGCAATCTTTAAAGTAGCTGCATTTTCCCCAATATTATATGTCTGCTAAATTGAATACTGTATCAGAATCTGCTACATTTGTGCCCCTGTGTATATACCTAGATCCCTTTTTGGAATTCAATCTGAACCATTATTTGAATTCTAAAAGTGCATTCTGGATTATAAAATGGAATTATGCACATACTAGCAATTTAAAAACTGAAGCACTTTGATCTTTACCAGAAGAGTGATGTTAAGACACCAGGTTTAATCTTTGCAGAATTTTCATCACTAACTCCCTCTGCCGGATTACAATAGAAGCACGCTAATTTACAAAAGATTTTGCTGAAATAAAATCCACTTCACTTTCAGTAGAGCAGCTGGTCAGTTCTTGCTCTCTGCATGCCCTACTCTTACAGGAACAATGAGCCACAAAAGGAAGAGAACAATTTGGTTTCTTAGCAGCTAAACAGAGCCATTATTCTTTGAGGAGCAGGCAGGAGAAATCTAACAATGTTTTATTTCCATTGGAGGAAAAAAAATATGTATCCTAATTTTTGCCTTCTTTCTCCAGATGTTTTTCTAGGTACTCTCAATTTCTGAAAATATGTTTATTATTTTGTAATATTATAATTATTTCTAAGAAATATTGTCCTATTGTGGTTTTGAATATTTTCATAATTGATCAAAAGGAGTTTGTATTTTTAAGCATTTCCATAGCACACTATAAAATATTTTTAAAATCTTGTTTTTTCTATTCAGACACATAAAACATCTAGAAAAGAAATGGCTGTGGCTAGGTTTGCTAAGATCAGTACCTACTTATAATTCCATGGCAAAGCAATCCACACTAGGTAAAGAGCATGTGCTCAATAAATTCCTTCAGATTATTTAGGAAATATTCCAAGTTAAACTATCCCTTAGGATGAGAAAAACCACCAATCTGCAAGGGAAATTCATACAGAGAAAAAACATTCCTTAAGATAGTTTACTCTTTTAAACATGCAAGTCATGTTAATATGTAACTGCAGTCTGATAGGAAATACAAAAAAAGAATGTGTACAAAAATCAGAGAATAAAATATCTGTTTCAATGCACTCGGTTGCCTTGTAAGTTATCAAAAGCTTTGCAATTAAGCAGTATCAAATTGTATTCATCTTATTGCATTTTTCCTTATTTTTCTAGAAAGAAATTCTTCAATGTAAGTACAGTTACTTTACGTCTATTGTCATGTTTGTATTGCCAAAATGTTAATCATAATTTCTACTGGGTTGTGGAAGCAATTGAGTCGAATGAGTAGATTCGGTTGCATTATTACCTTTTGAAGAATGTAACCTATAAATGTTGGCACAGCTGGAAAATATTTAGAGTGTGGGTGATTTCTAATACACCATGTAAAAATATTTGAATACAGTAATCATTGGGCAGTCTTTTTCTTTATGCATTATACAGTTTCATCACTGAACATGTATAAAGTATACTTTTTGTTAAGGTTAATGGCCACTGGACTAAATATATAGTTCACTTTCATTAATTAAAAGAATGGTAACTGCTGTTTTCACAAAATGCATAATTTTTCATTTAGACAAATCCATTTAAATAAAATGCCAAATTAAATTTCTATTGTAATATTTCAACTTGAGAGTTTTGTACATATTAATATTATTATGGTCACAAAAAATAAGGCATTATTCAGTCCAAAATTTTAAAATTTGATGGTGTTGCTTTATACATGGAAATATTTTCTTCAGTACTCTATTCAGGCAACTGATAAATTTTGGTTTCTGTTCAAGAAAACTTAATTAAAGTGTGTATGAAATACCTTTATACACACGAGATATATAGTTAATCGACCAGAAGCGATCAGATGTAAATGTATTTCTTTTTTTAATTTCACGAACAGGAACACGAGTTCCAAGTACAGAACTACAGAAAATGAAAAAGTGAGTATTCTGCATCTACCTGCGTGTTTCACACAACTGTTATGTAAAATGCAGGTGCTAAAAACTGGACAAGTCAATTGAATCTAGTAATATATTCTTGCTGAATTTGGGGAAGGAATAGGTCCATGATGGTGAACCTATGGCACGAGTGCTGGAAGTGGCATGCAGAGCCATTACTGCCGGCACGCAAGGCCTTGCCCAGCGCAGGTCTACTGTGCATGTGCGTGTGCTGCCCGTCCATCAGCTGATTGTCAGGTATCTGGCGCACATGCGCAGGGGGTGGGGGGGCACGAGAAACGTGCATGCACAGAGATGCGCGGTGCATGCAGGGGTTGCTTGCGCATGTGCAGATGCATGGTGCGCGGCAGTCGCTCATGCATGTGCAGAGATGTGCAGCACACATGCGTGGTTGCATGCGCACGTGCAGGGGTGTGGGTGGATCCACGCACATTGCCTTCTGGGTGCTGGCATGTGAGCGCAAGCATGCGCACAATTATCGGCACAGGAGCCCAAAAAGGTTAGTTACCACTGGAATAGGTAAAGAAGATGAGACTTGATTTTGAATATTCCCAAACATAAATGTTCCCTTCAAATGTTTCTCAGCCTTTGGCAAAGATCAAGTGTGGTATCCCTTCAACTGAACACTAATATTTCAGGAGAGAGAAAAAGGGTCCGGATGGCTATTTTATGTTTAAACATAATTTAGCTTACATAATTTCCTACCTAATGTGTAGAAATATATTTGTTGGTCTAAAGGTCCCATAGCAGTTTTTGACTCTGGATACTTGCCCTTTCATAAGATCATTATCACACAGTACAGAATAACAATAGTGGCCATGCCAAATGTGTTTAGGTTTTAAGATGATGTAAAGTCTATCTTTAGAAAAATGTTTTTTTTTTTTGCTATATTTCTCTCATACATGATCACTGGCAGAAAATGTGATATTAGGCAGATATCCACAGAGATGCTAGTAATATTTAATTTATTGATTTATTTATTTAATTTATATTGCTTATTCACCCGTAGTGACTCAAGGCGGCTTACAGAATATAAAACCACACTTAAAACAATACAAACTAACAAAAAGAATTAAGTAAATTAATATAGTACAATATAACAAAATCACCCCTCAACTCCCAACCCCTGCCCCAATGACAGCAGATCACATGAGTCATTTAATGGGTTCCATCTTGCTCTGGGTTCCTTAGGCTTGCTACAAAACCACATCTTCAGCGCCTTCCGGAAGAGTATTAGAGTTTGGGCCATTCTAATCTCTGGAGAAATGATGTTCCAGAGAGAGGGAGCCACCATGGAGAAGGTCCTTCTTCTGGGTCCCACCAGGTGTATCTCCCTTGGGGATGGGACCCGCTACATTCCCTGCCTCCCCACTCTAGATGTGACTGGCAAGAGATGGTGCCTCAGATAACCTGGTCCCAAGCCATGAAGGTCTTTAAAGGTGACAACCAGCACCTTGAATTGCACCCAGAAGCAAATCTGCAACCAATGCAGCTCCCACAGGAGGTGATACATGTGCACACCAGGATCTGCACAAAACCATGTGGGACGCTGCATTTTGCACCAACTGGAGCTTCCAGATGCTCTTCAAGGGCAGCCCCATGTAGAGCGTGTTTCAATAGTCAAGATGAGAAGTGACTAGGGCATGAGTGACTATGAGTAGGAACTGTTGGTCCAGGAAAGGGTGTAATTGGTGCACAACCTGCAGTTGCGCAAAGACCCTCCTGGCCACAACTGCCACCTGCTCTTCAAGCAGGAGTTGAGTCCAGGAACACCCCGAATGGTCATAAAGTGGCCATGAGCTATGGATTCATGCCAACGTGTCTTAACTTTTTCATGGCAAATCAGATTTACCATAAATTCAGTTCACATGCATGCACCAGATTACTATAAAAATGACCCCAATGCTTCAAAGTTGCTAGTAACCTTTTACAACATGAAAGGCATGATAGTGCTCCTAATATTTGTTGAGCAGTAAATATTTACTTTTGTAGCATCAGATACATTGTTATAGTTTGAGGATTATGTATGTATGTATATATGTATGTATATATGTATTTGGGAGGAGAAAAGAAAGGCACATCTGTACTCTTCTGTTTCAAGATTATACAAAAAAATGTCCTTGTATATCTACATATAATCCTCCTAGTGTGATGAGTACATACACGACCACTGGTTGTTTACAAATAATACTATATTAACTTCACTAGAACTTGTTTGATTTTTTTAATTATTTAATTCCTTTAGGATTTCAAGCACACCAAGTCCTTTATTATTTAAAAGAAAGTCGATTTCTGAGGATCAGAATTTGCTGCAGAAAATATCAAAGGGATGTTTGAACTCTTCTATAAAAAGAACGTTAGGTGCAACAACAAACAACTGGTGGCAGATTTCAAGATTCTATCGCTAAAAGGTGGTAAAAGTTGTAAAAAGTGTTAGTTCTGATGCTGCTTGTTTTAAAAAAGGAGTGAAAATAATTGGCAGAATATAAACATTGCTGTTTCACATGCCTACATGTAAAGAAATAGTGAATTAACGGTAGAGTTCTGATTATTAGATCTCAAAAAGGGTACTGTTGAGTAGAAAATTTATGAAGGTTATCAAGAGATTTCCTAAATTGGAACAGTGTTTTGAGACTTTACAGAATTAAAAAATAGGAAATCATTGGGACCATGACCAGCTTTATAATATTGAAGAATCTATGAAGAAGTGGACAGATTGGCATTTCTCACTGACAGCATTAGCTCCATGATCTTTTGGTGACATATGGATGAAAATATCCCATGCAGACCAAAAAAATAGTATTTTGGGGATTTTTGCTAATTAATGTGAATCCTATTGACTTGGATGGCATGGAATGAGAATTGGACAAATTCATTTCAGACAAGAGTAAAAATGGCTACCAGTTGTTATAAGCAAATACTATTTCCCATTTTTTACATAGAGTATTAATTTGTGGAGACAAACTATAGGAGAAGGCTACTACTTCTCTCTGAGGTTGATGGAAGCCTTAGGCGCTAGGATCAGAAACTGGATTACATAGCACTTTGCCCTAATTAAGGGGGCTAATTACAAAGCCACTTTTCTGAAACAAACTCTGTGACTGGAATAGCCTTAAACAATTATCTATATTATTCCAAAACAGAGTTTGGTGCTTGCTCTTTCGTCTTTCTCTAGAGGTTGACCACTAAAACTGCTGCTATCATTGCCAAGGAACAAAAATAACTGCAATCAGTCTGTCTCAGTTTATACTAACCAGTTGATTTCATGAAGCAGAAACATTTCTAACAAATTGATTTTAAAATTACTGTTGATTCGTATCATTAATTTGGATTTGAGGGTAAATTTGTTGCTGTTGTAGAGCTAGGATCAAGACAACAACTTATCAAGTGAGGTAGTGATAAAAAAAATGTGCTCTTATTTAGTCTGAAACGTTATTCAAATACGTGTATAATCTACTGCAGAACCGAATGGAGCTGGCAACCTCTCAATGACAAAGGACTGCACTTTTCTATTTGTATGATTGGACTTTCAACTTTGAAAGAGGACTGGTTATTAAAATAAATGAAACCTAAATATAGCATTATATCTTTTAGTTGTTTTCCACCAAACACACAAAAAAAGATTGCAATGCAATCCAATGTTATGATTTTTTGGGTGCTAAAAGTATATAGAATTACCTGAGGATATATAGGCTGCTTCCCAACCCATATGACAAAAGATACAAATTCACTCAGTCCATTATTTCATGTTGGGGTTTTTCTTACAGTAAAATGGGGTCAAAAATATTATTTAAAAGCATTTTGCTTAAAGTTTTGATGGCTTCCAATCATATATATGATACTGAAATTATGGTAACTTTCTTTACCACCATTCATATTTTTATTTTATTATTTGTCTGGGAAGGTCATTTATGTATTTTTGTCTCATACACACACACACACACACAAATTGTTTTGACATGATAGTCAGGTGTTTGTAACTCTATTAAACAATGCAATAGATGTCAGAGTATTTTGCACATACCCCACAATTTTTAATTTGAAAGCAAAACACGGCCACCTAACAAAGCAATGCATCATTTAGTATTACCAGCATTTTGCTAGAATAAAAAATAATGTTCAATTTTTAGATCTGAATTTAATCAAATTTATGACAAATGTAAAAAAATATATATATAAGCATATACACTTAAATCACAAACTGCATTTTGACAACTCTCTTTTATATTAAAAGTCCTACAAATACCTGATTTGGCAGCCATATAATTTTTAAAATAAATGATAAGTGATCATACTTCAGTTCTCAAGATGAAGTCAACATTTAAGGGGGGGGGGGAATAATTTTCTATTAAGATTTTAAAAAATTATGTACTCCTTTATTAAATTGGTAATAAAGAATATTCAGTTTTTAATATCCTTTACATACTATAGGCTTGCTTCCTATCTTTAAAGTAATTACCCTGTTTCTCCAACAATACGGCCTCCCCCAATAGGAAGTCCCAGCATGTTTTAGAGGCATGAAATGAAATTAAGCCCCTCCCCCCAAATTAAGACCTATATTAAAACATGCGAAATGGGGGGGAAATGGCGGCGGGGGAGTTGCTGTTAGGAAGTACTTTTGTTGCACACCCGGATATGGTGCTGCCTGCGTTGACCCTGATACAAAGTGCCCCACCAACGCCGAGATCAACATCCAAGCCGTCGCCGCCCACCTGCCCGAAGATGCAAGGGGGGGGGGGAATTAAGTCACCCCCGAAAAGACGGCCTAGCCATTTTTTCGGGGCTCAAAAAAAAAATAAGACCCGGCCTTATTATATGAGAAACACGGTATTTACTAAACACAGGTATCAGCAAGTTATGGACTTTGTGATGAAAATATCTACAATCGTAATGACCCTTCTGTTTATTCAAAAGCAAGTATTGTCTTAAAAGACTCTGTAAAAATGTGGAGTCCAGAAAAAGGCTGCCAAGTAAGAGTGATCACTGGTGCGTATAAAAATATCATTTTAATCATTTAAGTAAACATTGCTATTATTAGGCATCTAGACTACTGTTACGTTCTAATTTCTCATGATTGAACTATGTGGGCTATTTAAATTATTTTCCAACAAATTTACTATGTTTAATAATTAAAGCTTATTAGAAAAACAAAAGATATTTAATTTGTAATGAAATATTTAGTAATATCCTTTTAGAAGCATATTGGATGAATAAGAATCTGTATGTCTAATTGAATTCAAAACACCAGTGCACACTGTTAGCATTGAATTGTTTATTTAAGTTATAACCACAGACTAATTCAACATGTCCAACCTAATGCTTCATATAACGTGACCACATCACTTCTGAACTTCATCAAATTTGGGTTCTGTTGAGAGTAGAAAAAAAAATCTTGTTAATGCAGCATTTGCTTGTGATATACTATGGCATAAAATGTTCAAGTCATCAACATCAAAAAGCAACATTGGATTCTACTTTTTTTCATACGAGAGGTATGAATCACTGAAATTGAGTTATGCAAAAATAAAGCTTGCTGAGTTGTTTCTCAGTCAAGCTATCCCCTGAAATAACAAAAGAAAGGAATTTTAGGAAGTTCCACAAAGTATCATAACAAATAGAAAACCCTACATTGATTGTAGCTGATGTAAAAATAAACACAAAGATGCCAAGTAGGAATGTGTATAGATATTGTTGGAAACAGCATAGATGATTATTGTGCCAAGAATAGGAAAGTGTGTTTCTAAAATTTTATTTTAAACTGAGTATGGATATGTTTCATAAATGTATTGAAATTACAATCTGGTAATTGAGTTTTAAAGCAATTCAGAGCAGTGATTGTTATAGAAACACTAAACTACATTTAGAATTCAAATGTATTATTTACTGCCTGCTAGGTCTGTATAGAGTGCCAGTTTGGTGTAGTGGTTTAGGCACCAGTCTAGAACCCAGGAGAATATGAGTTCTAATCCTGCCTTAGGGCATGAAGCTAGCTGGGTGACTTTTCACTAGTTCACTTTCTCCCTCAGCTTTAGGAAGACATCTTTCGATGGGATCATAGAGCAACCATGGAAGGTAGTAACTAAGGAAACCATGTGTGATATAGGAAAAGGTACAGGTGCTTGAGTAGTAGAAAGGTATTTGTACCCTGAAGCACATTTTTGCCTCTGAATCAGAAATGTTGCACATAATCTATTGCCTATAATTATATTGTAACCATCAGAAAACTGTAACTTCACATTTTAATCTCATTATACATCAATACAGGTAATCCTTGAATTACAAGCACAATGAACAACAGAATTTTTGTTGCTAACAAGGCATTGTTAAGTGAGTCATATCTGATTTACCTTTTTGTTCTGGTTGTTAAGTGAATCACTGAAGTTAAATGAATCACATGAATGTTAAGCAAATCCAGCTTTCCCCATCTTGTTGGAAGCCATCTGGGAAAGTCACACATGGCAACTACATGACTCAGGATGCTGCAACTGTTGTAAATACATTCCAGTTTGCAAGTGTCCAAAATATGACCACATGACCATGGGGATGCTACAAGATCGTAAGTGTGATGACTGATCTTAAGTGACCTTTTCTGATCTTAAGTGACCTTTTCTGTGCAGTTGTAATTTCAAACAGTTACTAAACAAATGACTGTAAATCAAGGACTACCTGTAATGGGCTCATTTCTAAAACCTTACCTTCAAATTTGAACTCGGGAAATTTGGTCATGTCTCCTCCGCCATAGACTCGTGTGAGTTTCTCAGTTTGTTCATTCATCTCTTTCTCATATTCTGGACCAACATCAACAGGGCCACCAGCTTTTCTAAAAATACAAGAACTGTTATTTTTCAAAGAAATACAAAACCTGGTAACATCTTATTAAAAGATCCCTGTATAAGAATTCCAAATTAATTTTTTTGGAAATCTACAATTTATTTACTTTAAGCAAACAGAATGACAACTGATCACCAGATTTATAATACATAAATATATTCATAATAGCTTACAGATCATTTATTTATTTAATTTATATTGCCACCAATTCGCCCATGGTGACTCAAGGCAGCTTACACAATGTAAAACCATATTTAAAACAAAAAATAAAAATAAAAAAACAATAAAAACTAACAAAAATAATCAAATAAATTAATAAAGTACAATAGAACAAAATCTGGAAAAAAAATCACCCCCCAACTCCCTGCCCCGACGATTTGCTGCGTAACTGCTAAATTATGAGAAGAAAGCCATAGGAAAATGCCATTACCAAATGGATTAATCAGGAAATTCTAAATTGATTGCAAAACAATCTTAGGCCAGACACAATATATAGGGTTTCCAACTTGTCACCCATTGAGATCTTTGGCACCTATTGGAACCAATGTCCCTACACATATCTCTTAGGAGCAGGAGAGGGGGCCACATAAGAAACTGGGCCTGTTGTGGGGGGACTCTTCTTGCTTCTGCTGTTGCCGCAGGTCAGACAAATACAATTGATGGGCTGGAAGTGGCCTGTGGACCATAAAATCCCTATGCCTACTTTGGAATATACCAGATCCCCTGCTCCACAATTTTAATTTTAAAATAACATGCTTCCAGGAAAAATTGCAGTCTCAATTTCATTTTCGAGTATGCATCCACTAGGTGGCTACAGACATTTTTTGAAAGTACAGTATTTGCATCTATATAGTTATATGCATCGATTAAAAAAAAAAAGGGGGGGGGGGAAATCTGACAAAGTACTCTGGCAGAGAGTATCCTTTACCAGTTTGTATTTTACTATATGGCATTTTGGGAGTATCCATGTCCATTGTAAAACAACATATTATGAAAGAGACACCCGTTCCACAGCAGATATTTTTTGAATGGATAACCTGCTTCATTTGTTGCAGATATTCTGTACCTGCTCAATTTGCCTGGAAGATAACATTAGGGAAGAAAGCTTCTTGGAGCAAATTTAGTAATATTACAGAATAGGCTAACAGAAAATAAATCTAGGCTACAATGGATATTTTACAAGTTGGCAAATCTTGGTGATACTAGAAACATTATAGAAAGTATAACCTGTCACGTATGACTACATTATTGTACTTATACACTATTGGGGGGGGGGGGGAGATAACTTAAAGTACTTTAAACCTAATATTTCCTGCTCATTTGTTCCTGCTGCTATAGTTGAAGCAGTCCATTAGTGAATTGTGTATGGAGAATCTCAGGATTTATCCTTCCTTCAGGAAGTGTATTAATAACATATGCACCATCACATATTAATTCATCAATGTTGCCTTTTATGGTCAATGACCAACAAAGTAACTATATTGGATATAGAAAGTCTACATACCCGTTAAAATGTTAGGTGTTAGAAATGTAAAAAAATCTGATCAAGAGAAACCACTTCAGAATTTTTTCACCTTTAATATAACATATAAACTATACAATTCAATTGAAAAGCAAATTGAAATCTTTTAGGGAGAAGATGATAATAAAAAACTTACAATAATGTGGTTGAACAGAGGTGCACATCTTTATTCTTTATTGCAGCACTTGCTTTTTTTGCCAGCAAGCAGTCTTTTGGAGTAGGAGCCTATCATTTTGCCTTGGGAATCTTTGCCCAATTCTTCGTTTAAAAAACGCTCAAAATCTGCCAAATTGTGAGGGCATTTCCTGTGCACAGCCCTCTGCAGGTTACTTCCCAGATTTTCAATTGGATTCTGGTCTGGGCTCTTAATAATAAAGGTAGAAAAAATTCTGAAGTGATTTATCTTGGTCTGATTTTTTTACATCTCAAAAACCTGGCATTTTAACTTTTTATATCCACTGTATAATCCTAAAGCAACATATAAAAGCAGGCTCAAAAACAATAATAAAACCATACAGTCATACATACAATTAAAATGTACACACGTAAGAATTAAACAAAAAGACCAAAATATAAGAAAGCAAAACAAAATTAATAAAATGTAAGCAAGAGAATAGAAGAACTTTGTGACATTGTTCCAAGATTAGGATACTTTAAGCCTTCTTGTGACAATAAGCGCTGATAACGATTATCATACCACATAAGAATACTGTTCATAGAAGCAGAATTCTGGTTTAAGAATTAGAAAACAAACACTTCCCTCTCATTGATCTCTATTAGATGGTAATATAAGTATACCAACACATAGGTCCTCTTAAAAGGGATAAAGAACTACGTGCACTAAAGTCGGATTCCTGCCATGGGGACAATTTCTCTCATTAAATGGAATTTTATGAAATCCATCCAATATTGCTGAGGGAAGAGCACTAAAGCAGGTAAAAAGAAGGTTGTAGAGTGTATTGAGCAAACCAGGTTTGGCA